CAACACAGGATGTTGAGATTCAGTGAGAGACAAGACATAGACTCTTCAAAGGAAGACAGACATTGAACTCTACAGGATGTAATTGTCATTGATTTTGCCCCAGAGTTCAGTTTCTAAATGTAAGGCTCTGGTATACCAGAAAGGGTGAGAGTAAGGCCTTTTGAAGGAGATCTACAAATGTGTTGGCAGCATTTTTTTACGTGCTGAATCAGTTAGAAATGACAAGAGTCTTAAGCCTACTGTGGATATACCATCATAAATCTTCCTCCAGAAACAGGCAAGGAATTTTATTCCATGTCTTCTAAAATGTTTTTGAAATTCCTTCAACTTGTCTTAATAGTTTAATATATTTGGCCACCTTCTTGCATTCAAACTACCCAGGAAATATGCCTCTCTATCCCTTCCAATAAATGCCAGTTTTAAAAGCCCCAGTGTTTTTTTCTGAATGCTTATCTTTGATTTCACATACTGGTAGCCAAAGAGCCCATTTTCGTAAACTTCACCCAATTTATTTTCCTCTCTATGGTATATTTTAAAATTCAGATTATATTTGAGATTAGAGAAGAAATTTAATATTATTTTTGAATAAATTGAAAATTTATGGTGAGCATACATACTAAAATAGTATGTATGGAGCAATACAAGTTTATAAATTTATACTGTCTATAGGATCTTCATGTTTTAGAGAAAGACAAACCTTACACTTAGTACAGAAAAGTTGGGAGTCAGATACTAAAGACTAAAACAATGGATAAGTGATACCATAAGTGAATATATATTTTTAATTTGCTAATAGCTTTGTTAAATCAACCTGATAAACTGCGTCCTTCCTAGCAGGGGCACCACTGTCCCACCTGAAGCAGGCTGCCTACTCTCACACTCTCATGGGTCACTCAGCCTGCAGCATGGCAGTGATCATGACCAGGATCCTTAGGGTTATACAACACCTAGGCTTTAGTTCCTGTGTTTCTCTACTTTATTAGAAATTACCATAAATGCAAAGAAAATCACCATTAGTCATTATACCTATGATTAATAAAGCGAATATATATATATATATATATATATATATATATATATATATATACATATATATATACATACACACATATATACACATACATATGTACATATGTATCTCCCCCTCTCTCTCTTAAGCTATTACAAATTATTATATGTACTTAATAGTACAGCAACAATAAATTACAGCAGCACTTAATAATAGCATTAACCAGCACACCTATACAGGCTACTACAAAATTACCACCATTACAAAAATTTTATCCATAGTATGAGAGCAGATATAATAAAATACTTTTATGTATGTATAAGGTACCAGGCACAGTAAATAGAATCCAGATGGGGCCAAAGCATCTCAAAGGGAAGGGCAAATCAAACTAAACCCAGAAGTGGACCCAGAGGAGGAGAAATAAATAAAATCATCTCACTTCAGGTGATCAGAGTCACCGAAACAGACTCTGACAGAGTTTGGAGCCAGGCAGGCACCCACAGCAAGTGTCCAGAATCTCAAAAGAGAGGTCATGCAGAGAGCTCAGCCTGTTGGAGAGAAGGAACACTGCATGTACTAGGGGAAGTTCTCAGATAAATAAGCACTATTCTAAATACTATTCTAAATAAAAATCTGGTCATTTTTTCACCACAGAAGTATAAGAACGTTCAGGATACCAGTATTTAAAGCATCCAATAGATGTTGTTAATTTAACCTCGGACATCCAACCGATGATGACTCTTTTCTAACCTCTCAGACAAGTTTTTGAATTTCCAGACTGTTTTCCTGCTTTTGAAGTTTAGAATAACCAATGTCAGCTGCTGCTCCTTTGTTAGGACACTTCCACATTTTCAGGTGATAAGTATGGTTCTTATTCATGGTGTCTCATAATGTATCCAGTTTCCAGGCATATAACTGATAGAAACTGACAAACAGGGCTAAATTGGTGGTGAAGAACAAATGGGTTAGAATCAAACTTAGCTTTCTCCCAGCTGTGTTCACTCTGCCTTGTTAGGTAGAGTAAATGCAGCATATCTTACTTTTATAACTGAAGTCAGCAGATATGTTGCTGAATACAAAAAAGGGCACAGTTGTTGAATAAAAAAGCCTCTGTCTTATAATTGCTTTTCACAGTAGTGACACATGCTAAGCACAGAAAATGAACTTAAAGGGGTTTCTAGTGAAAGTTAGCCATGAAGGGCACTGAACTTCAAGGGTGTGTTTGCAAACTCGAAGATAGTACAAACAGGACTCAGGAATAGTCTGGGACTCTTAGATCTGAACCCAAAGCAAAACCTGGCTTTTGATACTTCTCTTTCATCTATGCCTCTCATTTGTGGTTCTTCATATAAATGAGTGCACTAAGAGAGGGTTTCTCAGCAGGAAGTCTTCCAGGTAGGCCGTAAAATACAGTTCTGTTTCTCCACAGTAAATTCCCATTATGGAAAATGCAGCAGTGTAAAATGAAAATCTGCCTTCTAGAAAAGGCCTAATACATAAAGGAACAAACAGTAAAGCTAGAAAAAGTCAGCTATGTAGAAAGAATGAGACCTTATCAGGAAAATGGCCAGCAATAAATCAGTAACAGGTGCTGCAACTGGAATTAAAAGCGCAGCAATGCAATGTGTCAACAACCAGACAGCCAAATTTGGCAGCTTAGGCAAGATGACCCATTGGAGCTCCTCCCAACCTTACCCATTCCTTGACTCTGTGATTCAAGAGCACCTAAGATTCTTGTTTGCAAGCAGGAAAACCAAGTATGACTTGAGCCCAAAGGAGGCATACCAGGTGTAGCAAATAAACAAAAATAAATTACTGCATAAGATGTGAACATTTCATTATTATATTACACTAATTACAGACAGAGAAGGAAAACATCTGCTACCAGTAGCTTTTTCTTCTTTTGTAAATACTGGTGTGGGGAATCAATTGAGCATTTGAAGATGTCAAAATGGCTGTAGCTGTAACAAGTACAGCTATCTGACTTGCTGATAAAGCCCCTTCATTATTGCCATACAAAGGAGAAGGAAATTTCAAAATTCTCAATAATTTCTTAAATAATTTGACTGTCTCATAAAACAGCTGCATGTATTTTCTTCGAACTTCTATGATTTTCACAGTACTTAATAAAAAAAACCACAAGGCTCAACAGAGTTTTAAATATGCACAGATTAATTCCCTGAACATCTAAATTCCCTTAAATGATACATAGAAAAGCATAATTTATGAAAGAAAAATACTACTTAATTCAGATGCAATGGATTAGAGACTCAGCAAAATTCTAGTAGAATGGTTGTAGAAGCAAAAGAAGATTTTCTTCCTCTGCAAACCTACCAAGCAAAAAATCAATTAAGAAGCACCATGCCAATGCAGTTTCCCTCATATAATTATATATTTTGAGGACATTTTCACTGCTGTAAAATAGAAATTCTTATATTTCCTAAATAAATAGTCTTAGGTCATATGGTTTGATCAATTCTTCTTGTAGTTTCAAAAATACAATTCCATAATACTGTCTTTTTCTCTGAGTCCCACTTTTGTCAATACTATGTGTACCTAGAGACAAAGGACATGCATGTACACATATCTTCCTCCATACTAAAAAAAACCTGTTAGGTATGTAATGTAAAAGAAAACATAAAGCTCTAATATTCATGGTGCAATGCTCATAATCCATTAGGAGGCTGCTGTCATGCTCTTTATATAAGAAAGTAAATTTTATTACAATCTAAACTTTTTTCCTTAACTGTGAAGACAACCAAAACAATTGATGATGCATCTTATTTTCAGCAGATGAAAGAAAATAGGCAACTCATTTGAACTCCTTTCATGCAGTCTCAGATGGGTTTTTTGCCAGAAGCTTTAAAGACTTTTTGCTTATGCAGCAAAGGATGGACTTCTGTAACAGCTAAATTTTGATATTAAAATCCTAGCAAGAAACCAGGATTTTTTATGCATTACCCTGTTCTTAAAGGTTCTGGTGAAAGGAACAGGAGATGGAGTTTCATAATTGGTGTTAAATTCATCCAAATAGCAAAAGTAAATAATTACAATGTTTTTAAATTTATCCTAATCAATTCCTCCAGAAACCTATTAGAATTCCTGTCAAATTTAAAAATAATTGAAGTAAGCTTTGTTGCTAACACAGCGAACTGAAAAAAACATTGTTTAAATGTTAATCTGGTGTTTATTCAGACACTTCATACTTTCTACTTGCAATAGCCTTTCATTTAAAAAAAAAAAAAAAAAAGGCAAATAAATGTTTCCTCTATTTTGCTGCATTTTCTCATTTTCCATGATGGCAACTTTGTCATTAAATTCTGCGTTTCAATAATCATCATAGATTAAGTAGCAAATACATTCTTGTGTGCAGAAGTCCATGGATTAAATCCATCATATTTTAATTTAAACAGAGATTATGAGAATTTAAGTCAATTGTCAGAGGAATATATTCTATTCCCTAAAACAGTTGATCTCAAAACAGTGAGGTAAAGCCACTCATGCCAATAAGCTTATTTTTTTACCCTGCAGGGAAGGAAAAACTAAAAAGTGTTTTCCAGCAGAACAAATTTTACTGACCCTGTAAATTTAGGCTTCATCCCTACAGACTTTGGTTTTCCTTTTTTGTTTAGTTACATACAAAACCGAAACATATTTGCCTTTCACATGCTTATCAGATTTGAGCATTGAACTGGAATTTAGTGATGCTTACAATAACAAAAAAAGCCCATCTCCCTATTGCTTTGTAAGGCTACCAACCTTTCAAAACACAGTCCGTCAACATACCTTAAATGAAATAAAATCAGGCCTTTCTACTGAGTATTGCTCAGTGCAATTCCTGTGAGAAAGAAAGGAAGGAGCTAGAAGATTATATGTTAAAGTAGGAAAAAAAATAAGAAAGCTAGAGAATAAAGAAGTAAACTAAAGCAAAAAAAGGTATTTGATCATACCAAAATTAGGTAACATTTAGTTGTGAAAAGAAACTGCCTTGGCTTAGCATTTTGTCTGTATCAAAAATTTGGTAATGAATCTATAGGATTTTAACCATTATTTTTATTTAAAAGAATCAGTTTATGAGCACAGTGATTGTTACTAGAAGCTTTTTATACATCAGCTGCTGTCCATACTTCTTTTCAAGGAGGATGTTACCATGCTGTGAATGTAGATGAAGTAACAGCACATTCATGATTTCATACCACCAGCCACAAACAGTCATCCGTATGACTAATAAGGCTCTTTACCCCCGAAAACTTTCTGACACTGTGTGCAGATTCAGAGTGCTCATGCAAAAGACAAACCTCACTTTTTCACTGAAAGAGCAATTTCCTTCCTGTTTAGGCACACCACATCACTGCTGCTTCTCAACGGCCTCTGTTTTTCCAAATGGCAGAGTGGAGGAGATGGCACAACTGTGACTGTTCCTGAGCTGCCTTCAATATTCAGTATGCAAACAGATTTCATCAAAACCTGTAGTAGAGAATAATAAGATTAACCACTTCCAAAGACATAGAAAAAATATTTTAAAAAATTTATTTAATTCTCCAAATGGGTAAGTGGACGAATAAAGAATAATTACAACACTATAGAATAAAAACATCTACCTATGAAAATAATATTACAACAAAGGAATTGCAAAATCTTTTTTAAAGTATCATTATGGGCAAGTTGCCAACATATAAGTTGTGGTGCATCACAGTTTTTTACTAGGAGGCTAGTCTTTAATAATGCAGATTATTTTAAGTTTGGATTAAGTAAAAATCAAGAGCAGAAGGGTTAGTTTTGTTTTGTTTTTTTGTTTTTTTTGTGTAACTATAATGGCCAATGGCAGAAAAAAATAAGCTAGCACAAGTTAAAATGTGAGGATAAATAACAGCAAAGGTTTGGGATGCGTCAAATTATTTAAAATAAATGTACATAAAAAAGGTCATTTCACTTTTCAAATATTAATGGAACTTTAAAGAGAAAATAGAAGAAGTGTTAAGATGCAAAATATTACTTTTGTCCCCTTTTTTTCCCCTGAAAGGCAATGAATTGCTAGCCTGAGCTTTTCTAAACAAAAGTCAGACTTACAATAATGACAGCTGAGTACTTGGGAAACATTGACATCACACCTGTGAATGTTTTTGAAAGGTTACAGAACATTACACATCATAAGGTTTCAAAGCCAGACAACATAAAATGAAGAGTGCTAAATGCCACAGAGGCTATATGGACATTAGCAGATATTTCATTACGTAGTAGATGTGGGAGATCTTTAGTAGTGAGATCTCCAAGGAGTAGTAAGAAGATACCATTTGCCTCTGCTTCTGTGCTCTTAACCTTTCTGCTCCAAATGAGCAGAAAAAATGAGGCAGGAATTTAGCCAGCATGTATTAGTTAGTCAGCCAGCTTTAAGCTCAGTTCAAACTCATAACTGAGAGAGCAAAACTTAACTTGATTTATAACCAAAATTAACTCCACAAGATTCTATTCTAATCAGGTATAACCATATCAGCATTTAAAACAAGTAATTGTGTACACATTTTTGGTTCCATGGCATGCAAGTTGTCATTATATTTACTTTGTAAATTAGATAAGAATTTTGCAAATGTCCATTTCTGTATTTCCAAACAAAACCAGAGTTTTCTAACTAAAAAAGAAATCAAATAAAACAAACCAAAAACAAATAAACAAATATCCTATTTGATGAAGATTTAAATGAAAAATTAACAATTTAGTATGCCTCAAGGTCACCAAGTATATTCTGGCTTCCTTTAAAGCAAGAATATCCAACACTATTCTACCCAGGATGAAATTAATAATTGCTGGAACAAAGAAGTTTGTCCAGAAATAATTTCACTGAAGGCATGGCTAGGTAAACAGGTAAAAGTAAAATGCATCTACTTATAGACACCACAATATTATTAAGCATTTTCAGAAACTAGAGCAACCACTTAAGTATCTGGATGTTGATATATTTTCCTATATCTGAAGAATTAGAGGAATTCCATATGACACAGTAATCAAGTCAAAATAGATGTTACAAAGACAGAATATGGTATTTGTTGTGCCTGCAGAAACAGCAGGGATCTAAAATCATTTTGCTCTCTGCCTGTTTTGGGGTTATCACCTAGGATAACATGAGCTTCTTTTATGCTTTTGTGCTTCTTTTTGAGCACCAACTGAGCCAGCTGGATTTTATGAATCATCAGGTGGCAGCATCCTTCCACTGTGATTCTGTACTGGCAAAAGTGTGCCTGAGTGTTTTCCAGGATAAAGCAATTTTCTAGTTTAACAATAACAAAGATATGTCTAGCTGAAGACAAGTCTACACAGGGGAGAACTGCTGAAACTGCTGCGCAAATGAAAATGGAAGAGATGCAGGTGACTGGTTTAAACAAGTCTCAGCAGACAAGCCAACAAACTTGCTAAAGACAAGGGAAGGTTACCAAGGAGTAATCTTTAGGCTGATGAAGAGATTTAAGTATGCTTCTTAGAGTGGCAGGCAGCTAATCAGGGAAGATTTTCTAAAGGCAGTATGAAATTAAGGAAAGGTGTCAGAGGCAAATGTCTAATGCCTGCCTGCCCCATCAACAGCACAGCTAAGCCTGAACTATCTCAAAATTACAGAAACAGAGGAAACATATCAAAGTATGACATGGATTTCTCTGAAGTCAGGAGAGAGAGAAATGAAAGGACTCATGCCAATGTAAAAATAATGAGCTACAATGAGTGGTTAACCTGGATTTATACATTTAACCTGGACAAAATGGGTTTCTTTGTTTTTCTCTGGGCTTATTTGTTCTTTAGGAATGATAAAAAATAAACTGCCTTTTACAGAATTGTCAGACCAGGATGCACAAAAGAAAAATTACTTAGAAAATTATTAGCTCCTCAGTATTTTATTTGCAAAGAACAGAAGTAATCTGTTTTCAAATTAAATTTCTACTGAAAGAAAAGGGAAAGAAGAGGGCAAACATGCTGTAAAGAGATTTACTATTCAGTATTGACTAACTTACACAATTCAGCTGTGAATTCTTTCTCAGTGTAATCATCCTTGTGTTATCAAACCACAAAACAGCCGAGAATTTATTTACTTCAGAACATTAACTGTACGCAAGCTGCAAGATAATTTAGTCTGCCTTCAGGACAGCAACAAAGTTATGCAGTTCATCCTCTTATGCAAAAGCAAGAGTAGGAATAAAGGCTGATAGGGCTGATAGTCTGAGGGCACAAAGCTAAGCTAATACATGACCTGCAGAGAGTGTGGGCTGCATCACCCTGCAGCCCTACCAAAGTCAAAGAGGGCATCCATGAGGGACTGGGACCAGAGCCCGCCGTATGGTTTGGAGACACTGATTACAGCCAGGATTTTCTCTCTTGCTCACTGTACATCTTTTCTTTACTACAGTTACAGTGAGGAGGATTTCCTCAGTAAATATGACTATTGCTCATAGCAAAAACTTCTAGTATATATATATATAAGAGAAATTACAGTGCAAGACCTGTTTCTGTTTCAGTTGCCTATTTCCTCATAGCTTGTTTTCAAATCATAATCTATTATTAGAATGAGGGAAGTGATAAATGAAAAAGTGAACAAATTTGCCTTTTCAGTAAATTTTAAGAGCATGTTAAGCTCATGGGGAAGTGGTCCAATGGTCCACACATGCAAATCAGTATTAAGAAAAAAGGCAGAATCGCTTGATAATTTCATGTCCTCAAAGGTCCTAAGGAAGAAAAAGTTCATTTTTCTAAAAGCAACCACACAGAGATTTACATACACTTGACTTATTGAAGTGCCATAAATAAAAGTGAAATTCTTTGCTTCCCAGTAAATACTATACTGGAAATACAATGCAGTTCTTTTCACTTATATCCAACAACATCACCAGCATTTTAAAATTTATTTTCTTTTTTGTTCCTTTTCTGCTATTGGGAAGAAAAAGAAAATAAAAAAGCAACTCATTTCAGTTCTGTTCTCACCCTTTTTGCTTTCACCACTAAGAGAAAAGATTACTTTTCACAGAATCATCACAGAAAGCCTGACTTACAAAGGACCCACAAGGGTCATTAAGTCCATGTTCTGGCCCTGCACAGCACCATGTGCCTGAGGTCATTGTCCAAATGCCTCTTGAGTTCTGCCAGTCTGGGGCTATGACCACTTCCCTGGGGTGCCTGTTCCAGTGCCCAGCCACCCTCTGAAGATCATTAGTCTAGAACCCAGCCTAAATTTTCCCTGACAGAGAGAAGGTTTATTGAAAAACTAACTTTTCATGTTTTCCATCAAGACTGATTTGATGGATATATTGTTTTACCACATTTCTCCTGTCCTTCTTGGGTGCACCCATTCTGAAGTCTGTGACATTCTCAGTCTGGTTAAAGAAGAACCATCAGTTATCACCTCATAAATATATAATATTCAAAGCTTATGCATCATTCAGTTTTAGACGTCATAAACTTTTTCAAACTGTATTTCTTTCAAACTATGCCTCTTTTCCCAAATCTCTCATTTAGAACAAGAAGCATCAAAAGTTCAGGTTTAACAATTATGATTCAATAACACATTTTATTTCTATTACTAAACACTTAGATACTATGAAAAGTGATATGCAACAAATTATTTTTCTAGATTTGGTTTGGTTTGGTTTTTTAATATCAATATATATAAAAGTATTTATTTAAATTCTTATATTCAGTTGCTGAGAATGACCTATAATGAAAGAAAGTTACTAGACATTTTTCATCTTCCTGAAACAGAAATGTTTATTAAATTGTCTGCTGAGGCTTTATTATTCTTTGACAATGTAACATAAAAACTATTCTAGAGGATATGGAAGCAATTTCACAGGGCAAGAAACAATAATGTATAAGAAAGGCAATGAACAATTGTTAGAAATTGTAGTTTAAAAATATTAAATATGATTAACAGATCATATTAACCAGTTTAGACTGGTTCACATACTGTATTCAAATTGTGAGCCACTTTCTTTATATACCTTGTATTTCACTGGCATTTATTACTCAAAACAGCCAAGTCTCAAGTAAAAGCTTCCCTTTGGAAAGCAAAAATATTTTTATTAACAGCTACAAGGGAAAATTTGCAAAAAGAGGGCACACTAAACATTGGTCCAAGGACACAACAAGGTCCAGAAAAAGGCATTCACCCATCCTTCTCATACAGTACATAAGGGTAAATTTCACTCAGCTTGTGATACGAAGAAAAGGTAATGAGATGCCAATTATTATCTCAGGCTGTATAGGAAAGGGTGAAGATTTATTTATGTTCTCAGACATGATGAAGATTATCTGAACTGCCCAGAATGCTGGTACTCAAGCTGCCTTCTTGAATTCAGGCATTCTCTGCCAGAAAAAAAAAATCCAATTTCAGTAGAGAAATGCAGTATAATCACAGGTGAGAAATTCTAGGCCATGTCTCAGAGCACATATATCACATCCTCATCTTAGGAGTAGTAGAGCAAAATCCAATT